ACCATCACCACCCTCTCCTCCTCCTACTCCCCCTCCTCCTCCCCCCTCCTTCTCCCCCTCGCCCCCCCAGCAGTCGAGAAGAAGTTCGAAAATCCTGCACGGACCCCAACTCCCACTGCTCTCGAAGTCGGCTCTGCATCGCCAGGAGGCGGGAGATGCGGGCACGGATCTGGCCAGTGGTACGACGAGGCCAAGATGCAAAATATCGCGCACTAGCAGCGCAGGGGTTCTCAAGAGCCAGCGAGCCAGGAGCTCGTATGGGGCGCCTTGGCCCCTGAAGAGATCTCGGGGACGCCCCGAGGGTGCTGCAGAAAAAAATGAGATCCGTCAACAGCGCAGACAAAGCTATACACTTGTTTCACTCCTGGGCGCCGGCGAAGGCCTAGAGAAAAGTAGCTCGTGACGTCCCAAAGAAAGGGGAGGATGAGGAGTCGGAAGAAGAGGGGGGGAGGAGGAGGAGGAGGAGGAGGAGGAGGAGGAGGAGGAGGAGGAGGCAAGATAAGGTAAAGCCGGTTGGGGAAGGTGGAAGACTAGCCAGACCCCTGCCTGTGCTATATGAATGCAGAGCCCTCCACTCGCCAGGAGGGCCTGCCTGCCCGGAGCGGCGGGGCCTTCCTGGCCTGGCTGGAGGCGTCGGCGGAGGGACACCCCGAGCTCCTGAGGTCATGCCGCATGTGAGAGAGATAGGGAAAGGGTAGCAGGCCCACGGACGGGAGTGCAACCCCTCTCCGAGACGCAGGCGCTGGAGGAGGAGGAGGAGGAGGAGGAGGAGGAGGCGGAGGAGGCGGATGATGATGATGATGATGATGATGATGATGATGATGATGATGATGATGATGATGACGGAGAGGAGGAGGAGGAGGCGGATGAGGAGGAGGAGGAGGAGGAGAAGGAGGAGGAGGAGGAGGAGGAGGAGGAGGAAGGTGAGGAGTTCGGGTGCGCTGGGGAGCGCGTGTCCCCCGAGCGCGCCACACCGCAGGCACCGACTAGCGCCAGACGGGAGCGCAGGCAGCGGCGCTAGCCGAGGCAATGCCATCGGCTGTCGGCGCAGGGAGGAAGAGGAGGAGGGTGAGGGTGAGGGCCACCGAGAGCGCGTCCGAGTCGAACACGCCTCAGGAACAAATGAGAACCCTGAGGGGCCGCAAAGCGGCGGAAATATTATGTACTGAGAGGGCGGGCGAGGGCCAGGGAAAACCGACGCCGCGAAACCGCTCCCAGGGGAGGCAAGACGAGTTACGTCTGCGCTTTGCCCTCGGGGCGCTTGGGGCGCCCTTGGCGGCCGTGGAAGATCCGATCGATCAACCCCAGCTGGTTGGCCCTCGTGCTCGGATTCTCTGAGAGCCCAGCACAAGGACGACGGAGCTTCCGAACGCTCCGAGACGTCTCGAGGGTCGTCGTGCCAGCACACTTACGGCAACAGTAGACCGAATTCACGCAGAAGACATCGTGGCCCAGAGCCGCAAACTCGGCTATGAGCTCGGTCGACCCTGAACTGCTTGACATGGTTGTGCCGACATTCACCGACATGATTGTGCCTGCGATGGCAGGTGGAGAAGATTTGCCCTCCAACTCACCCGTCTTAGATATATCAGACCCGACGCTCACGCTACCGCGCCCGAGATCCAAATGTTCATCAGCGGGGGCAGAGGGAAATGACAAAGCTGCGCCTGCAGCTTCATCGCGTTCTGACTTACGTATTTCCAAGGGGTTCGGGCAAATAATGGGGAAGAGGTCGTCGGCTTCCCGATCGTCATCAAGAAACTCGAACGGGTCGTACTCCCCGTCCATGTTTGATCCCACCATGGCTCCAGTAGGTCGGTACCCTCTGCCGTCCAATGTCGCAGCAGGCTCGCAGCGAGGCGAAGAGGGTGAGTGGTGCGTGCCGTGGGGGCCAGTGGCCTCCCACGGTCGGTACTCTCCGCCCTCAGTTGTCCTCAATGCTGCTTGCCCGCTGACGACGGACGGTGGGCAATGCGTACCTCCTGGAGCCGAGAACGCCGTAGAAGCACGCCCCATCTGTGAAGCAGAAGCCGCACTCTGCGAGGTACGCGATGCACGGGGTTCCACCTCAGCGCTCTGCTCGGCAAGCCGAGTGAGCGGTGCTGAGGGTAGCCAACTCGTGCCAATAGCATTCTCATCCCAAGAGACACGCGCCGATGCTGCGGAAGACGCCGCACTCTGTGACGTGCACGGCGCACGGGGTTCCGCCCCAGGCCTCTGCTCGGCAAGCCGAGTGAGCCTCCCTGAGGGTAGCCAACGCGTGCCAATAACCTCATACTCCTCCCAAGAGACGTTTGCCCACGGTGTAGCACCCGCCGCCGACGTCGTAGTCCTCGGAGGAGTTGTAGATGAAGCTGATACCCCGCTTCGAAGGGACCCGTCATTGCTTGCCGCCATTGCCACTGAACTGGGTAAGATACCAAGCCCAAAGCTGACGAAGCTATTGTTTGCGGGCCCGCTTGCACGCCTCGATGTACGTCGTCTGGAACCGCTTGAACCTTTCCGTGACCGCCTCGGCAGAGACGCTTTCGTCCGTGGGGATTCCTGCCGCGTTGAGCGTCGCCCGCATGTCCGCCTCTTCCATCTCAATATCAGGAGGTTCAGCTTGATCAGGCTCTTGTGCGGGTGGTTCTGCAGTCTGAGACGGAGGTGGCTTTGCCTGCGGCGCCTGCTGCAACTTGGTGACAGTCTCCGCCATCGCTTGCAGCCCAGCCGTAAGATCAGGCCCCAAGCCCAGAGTGCTGGCGACGCGCCCCAGCTGCTCCACCGACACGGCGAACCCAGGGAGCATCTCATGGAGCGTGGGCGGCCGCTGCTGCTCGGGCGGGCGCGCCTGGGACATGGCCTTGCGCGTCTCCTCTTCGAGCCTGACCACCTCTGCGGAGGCCTCCACGAGCTTTGCCTCAGCCTTGTCCAAGTGCCCCTGCAGCTCCTGGATCTTGGCCCTCTGCTCTTCGACCGACTTGCGCACGCTGGACTCCTGGGACCTCGCATGCTGGAGCTTAGCCGCCAACGACCGAGCTTGGTCCTCGATCGGGCGCCCGTCGAACAACTCCCGCTCCAAGGTCTCCTTCTCCTTCTTGAAATTGGCCAGCACCGTCGCGTCCTTGTCAGGCGAGAGCATGCGAATGATACCGTCCAGTTCCTTGATGCGCTTGCGCTTGTCTTCTGCACCATCAAGCTGTGATTGCGCCCATGGTGGCGGTGGCGTGGGCTCGGCCTTATCCGAGGTGAGCCGCTTGATTTGTTCTTCGAGCTGTGCACAACGAGCCGCGAGGCCTTTGTCGACTGAGCTAGGGCCCTTGGTTCCCGCAGCATGGACGCTGGGGGTTTTGCCTCGCTTGTACTCTTTGAACACCACCGACTTGTGGAGTTGACACTGCTTGCAGTACAACGTCCCTCCCGCATTGAACCACGGCTTGCCAGTGACTGAGTGGACACACGACTTGCATATCCAAGGTTCGTCAGCAGCAACCCTACGAGGAGCCATGGCGCGCGCAGGAGACTGGGCCACGGGCCTCTGTGCAGGGAGGCCGTGACTGCAATGAAGAAAGACTGCCAGGCCGCAAGCGAGCCTTGCCGCGCTCGGGAAACAGAGCGATCCCGTTTTGGCACGGAGGCGCGGAACCCCCAGTGTGCATAGCTCTTGAGCCAAAATGGCTACGGAGCAGGAAGAGGAGGAGGAGGAGGAGGAGGAGGAGGAGGAGGAGGAGGAGGAGGAGGAGGAGGAGGAGGAGGAGGAGGAGGAGGAGGAGGGGCGGCGGGTTGGTGCAGCACCCGCGCGGCGCCCTTTGGAACTTGAGTCTGCATAAAACTACCCTTTGTGGGGGGTAGTGGGTGCTGTTCGCTCAACGGCGGGGGGTTGTCCGTCCACGGGCCAGTCTGAGTACTCGGGTCACCCCGGCCACAAGCGGTCGGGGGAGGCTCACGGAAGCGTGACACCCGGTCCCCGTGGGCAAGGGACCTGGGGGGGTGGTCCTGGGCACCACTAAGTCTCGCGCCAGGGGGCCCACCTGTGCGGCCGAGGGTGTTTCAGAGTCCCGACCTGCTTGGGCAGGCGGGAACCTGGGCGAGGGTGGTGGCAAAGTGGCACAGGGGTGCCATTTTCTGAGGCGACAGAGGGCCGTCAGGCTGTGCGTTAAGACCGACAGTTTGATTTGGACGTTGTGTACAAGGGATCGATCGGCAAAGCCTGCCGAAAGGTTCCCGTAGTTTTCTGTGCTCGTTGCGGGTGTTTGGCACCGTTCAAGGAAGGGTTTGATCTAGGGTGCCCCCCCAACGGGCCAGGCGAAGGAGGCAGGTGAGCTCTGTGGGAGCTCGGGGGGGGGGGGGATGGGCACAACCTGTAAGTGGCTGGTCAGCACCCCCTCCCCGTCCACTTAGCCCTTCTTCCTTTTTTGCTGTAGGCTCTTTGTTCACCTGTGAGGGATAGACTCGTCCGAGGCTCCAGAGGATCCAGAGGCTCCAGAGCAGGAGGAGGAGGAGGAGGAGGAGCGGGAGGAGCAGGAGGAGGATGATAATAATGAGGATGATGATGAGGAGGAGGAGGAGGAGAAGGAGGAGGGGGAGATAGAGGAAGAGGAGGAGGAGGAGGCGAAGGAGGAGAAGGAGGAGGAGCAAGAGGAGCAGGAGGAGCAGAAGGAGCAGGAGGAGGAGGAGGAGGGAGGAGGATGAGGAGAAGGAGGAGGAGGAGAAGGCCCTGGAACGAATTCTACTCACTCGTGCCCCGCGGCCGCCGCATACCTGCTCACGCGCGCGGGGCGCCATTGGCGCGCGTCCGGCGCAAAGGCGGCAAGCGCACGCGAGCTGCGAGGTCACTCGTATGGACCCCAGGCCGCATCCTGGGCAAGCCTTCCTGGCATCCTGATCATGCGTCTCCTGCTCCTGCTCTTGCTCCTGCTCCTGCTCCTCTTCCTGCTGCTCTTCCTGCTCCTGCTCCTGCTCCTGCTCCTCCTCCTCCTCGTCCTCCTCCTCAGCCACCTCCTCCCCCTCCTCCTTTTCCTGCTCCTCCTCCTCCTCCTGCTGCTGCTGCTGCTGCTCCTCTTGCCCCCGGAGTCCCCCTCCAGCGGAAGGCTCCTCACGGAGGTCCCCAGATGCCTCTGGCGGCAGAACCTCTGGAGGCCCAGAGGGAGGAGCTCGATCCCCGACGCTGCCGGACTCCCACACATCCGACCAGGTGGTGCCTTCGGCGCGTGGCCCAATATGTGTGCGTATGTACTTTCTCTCTCTCTCTCTCTCTCTTTCTCTATCTCTCGTTGTCTCTCCTTCTCTCTCTCTCTCTCACACTGCCTCCTTCCCCCTCCCCCGGCTTTCTACTCATTCAGATACCCCGCCGCTCCTGCTTCCTCTGTCCACGCTCTCGGGGGCGGGGGGAGGACAAGGATGGCAAAGGAGAAGACGGGGGTGGAGGCGGAGAGAAAATGAGAAGTGAGGTCGAAGGAAGTGGAAGCGGAGCGGGGGTCACCCTCAACCACATCCACATAGTTCCTTCTCCGCCGCCTCCTCCACAACTTCCCACCTCAGTGAGAAAGCAGCCCCTTTCCCTCGAAAGCACTCCGTCCCCCCACCCATCATACCAGACATGCCTCTCTACCAACCCTTACACATCCGAATCCTGGAGCATCTCCCCTGTACTCCCTCCCTCCCGCCTCACCCGTCCACCTCCTCCTCTCCCTCCCTCCCTCTCCTTCATTACCATCCTGCTTCCACCTCCTTCTCCTCAATTTCTCCTCCTCCTCCTCCTGCCTCCTCCTCCTCCTCCTCCCCTCTCCTCCCGTCTTCTCCGTAGCTGCCAGCTCGGCCCGAGTTGGGCTGCAGCGCACGCGCCATCGGCGCTCGCGCGCCGCCTCCGGCCCCCGCGGCCGCCCCTCGCTCGGCGGTGGGCACGCTTCCCTTTAGCACACCTCCCCTTAGTGAAAACGGCCCGGGTCCGAAACCGATGGGCTGGGATGAATGGGGCCCTAGGACACACAAATAAATACACACAAATAACAGGATTCCCCATACTTTCCCATTTTTTCATGTTTTCGTCTTCCCACCCACTTCCCATATTTTCGTATATTTACCTGGTGGTCGACGATTCATTATGTCTGTGTGTTTCTTTCCCTCCTGACTGGACCCGCAAAAACGACGGCCGCGACGCCCCCTCGCGAACCGAGAACGGCCGAATCGACGTGACAAGGAAGGAGGTCTGTCCACCCCCGACCCTCCCTCTCCCTAGCCGCGCCTCGTCCCGCTCCCGCGGGGCCGCGATGGCTCCAGAGTCCCTGCGGCGGCATGCCCGCCGGCCGAGTCGGCCGCCCGCCCAGCGCCGCGCGCAGCATGCGCAGGGCCGAGTGGCGCTCCACGCGTCGGAGGCCTTCGACGAGGTCGTGGGCCACCGTGGCCAGCAGCTCGCCGTCCTCGGCAAGCCGCTCCGAGAGGCGCTTGCTGGCGGCCCAGATGGAGGGTCCGCTGCTGCCGATGTGTGTGCCGAGCCCGCGGGCGTCCCGCGGCACGGCGACGGTGGAGACGACGAGCGGGATGCACCTCCTCTTCAGCGTGGAGATGGTGAGGCCACGGGGGTTGGGGGGGAGCCAGAAGGGCATCGCCCTGGCTCTGACCCACCCGCCCCTGGTCACGGCGGCAACGGCGGGCGCGGCGGCGGTGGTGCTTCTCCCCCACGGGCGCGCAGGAGGAAGAGACCGGCCTCGTGGACCTGGTCCGCGCCCTCCGTGCGGAGGCCACGACGTGCGCAGCGAGCCAGGCGGCAGCCCCCACGGCCAGCGCCGCGCACGCAGGCGGAGGGTGAGGCGAAGGCGGCGGCGGCGGCGAAGGTGCCTCGGGAGGTGCAGGGCGGCCGTTTTTTGGCACTGCACGCGGCGTTGGGAGGGAGAGGAACTGCTGCGGGGTTCGCGGCTTCCACGGCCGCGGCCTGTCCTGCCCCAGGGGCGGCTGCTGCCAGGAGGCCGCCCCCAGGCACATCGCCACCGACGGGCGAGCCGTGCAGGCAGCCGTGATCGCTGAACAGACCGGGGTTGCCGTTTCGTCGTCGCGGCCCTCGTTGTGCTCAATCGTCAACTCCTTCTATGTGCTCGTGGTGCGTTTCCGTGTGCTCGCGTTCGCCGTGGAGATCTGGGGAAAGGTAGCTTGTTTGATTCATGACTTCGGCATTCGGCTCGTTTCGCCTCGTTTCCTCTCATCTTCTCCATTCTCCTCCTCCGCATCATCCTGCCACCCGATTCTCTTCTTCATCCCCCCTCACCCCCCCCCCTGCTTCATCCGTATCCTCATCCTCTTCCTCGTCCCCCTTCGCCTCCTCCACCACCTTCTTTCGCTCCCTCCTCGTTCCCTTCTTCCCGTCTTGCTGAGGCACCACCTCCCCATCGTACTCCTTCTGATCGTTGGCCTCGTTCATCCTTCTCGTCCTCCTCCTCCTCCGCCTCCTCCGCCTCCTGCTCGTCCCTCCTTTTCATTCCTCCTCGTTCGTCTGCGTACCCGTGTTCGCAATACTACACCACCTGCACTCAAGGACTGAAGTGAAGTAAATCCCAAGTGTATGAACGATGTTGATGTACACCCTGCCGTATCAAGTCTACACATGCGTCCAGACGAGCCATCAGTGCTGGCAGGAATTCCGCATTGACAGAAACTGCCCTCCACCATTCGAAACAAGAAGGCAGGCGATACGGCAGAGTCATGAATCTCAAGGCAATGCCCAACGGCGGCCCAGCTCTGAAAATGAGCCGCGCTCCACACATGCAAATGTCGCACGTTCAAGCTTCTGGTCATCCAGTCGACCGACGCTTCAAGCTGGAGCGCCATGCTGCCAAGGAGCCGCCCTCCACGGGTATTAGTGTTGCACCAGTGTTGCACGCGCTGTGGCAACGACTGGGGGCCTGAGCCGCCCTGCCCGCAACATGCAAAACACGTGCTGGCATGGAGGCTCGGCGGGTGTACTGATGTCGCAGGTCTGCCAGGCTACGCTCGCCAAAACGTGGGCCAACACGCCGGGCCAACACGCAGCGTGTCCACACGGACGTCCTGAAGACGGCACGTCTTGCGCTTCGGACCGTGCGCACCAGAGCAGCCGAGCGCTGGGGACGCCCCCGGCGAACACGCCTTTTGAGAGAGGAGCAGGCCCTCCGTCCGTGCAGCTGGCTGGGGAGAGACGAGTGCCCGCGGCGCCGCAGCGAAGGGCCCCCCCCTGTTCTGCGGACGCGCCGCCCTCGTCCGCGTGGCTGCTGGTCCGTCTTGCACGCGTGGCGCCACGGGATGGGGAGCGCACGCGCGCAAGCACAGCCAACGAGCCACCCCTTCATCGGCACGGCTGCGGAAGGCACGACGACGAGCGCGCGCGGCGCCAAGGCGGGAGCCTCGGTTTGGATGCCACTCGCCCTGCATCCGAGCAACTTGGGAATTCCCTGTGGGAGCCCAGCGTTGAAAACCACGAGTATCGTTAGACCGGTCCCCGTCCCCAGCGGCGTGGCCTGGGCCCCGCTGGCCGATTTA